CTGAATATTAATAAGATATTTTTTTACTAAAATTTTTCTTAAATTCTACTCTACAAAATAGCTATCTTAGATTTTTTTTTTACTTTTTATTTAAAATTTTAAAATAATTAATATTTTTAATAAAATGTAAAAAAATTAATTATTGAGATATAGCTATAGACCTAACGTCTAACTAATATTTAAAAAAAAAATCAGCTAAAAATATTTACTGGATCAAAAGTTATTTAAGTTGTCAGTGAGTGGTGGGCCACCCTGTATACACAGCCACGGATCAACAAAAAAAAAAAACATTGCATAAAAGCATCATGTTATATTCCCTTATCGTTAATGGTAAAACCAATGTTTGCGTCTACTCATATGCTTACGACTAATTTGAATCGTTATCTTTATACAATTTTATATACGTATAATTTGTTTAGTATATCGTTTGTCAGCATACGCCGCTAAACTATTATACCAACCACCAATAGAACCACTGGAAGTGCTGGTCACTCCCAGTATTTTTAGAATTTGTTTTTATTTTAAAAACTTATTATCAACTGACAACTGTGTTTAAAAATTATTGTATTTCTCTTTCTACCGTGCTCTGAAACTAGTGACAACGTCACACTTAATCGAGTATACCTACTTAAACGAAGTGAATTATAGAAGTAAGCGTTTTCATTTAGTAATCTAAATTTGCGAAAAGTTTTGAATCTATTAACTAATTTTAAGTCAAATTATAGGTATTCGGTATAAAAAATGTCCGTGCGGAAAAATGGTCAAGCAGATATCAGGTTAGCGAAAATATAAATACGGAAAAATGTATCCTAATCCAAATAATAGGAACTTAAGTAAATAATACATTAAAAAAATTTCTAATTTTATGTAAATTAATCAATTTTACTCTAAAAAAATTTATGTAATCTTTGTTGTCCTTAATAGTAGTCTAAAAATGTTTAATTTACTAATAAATTTGAACTTTTAACACATTCTGACTGCCTAAATCCAAAGTTTAAATATGGGTAAACGTAGAAAAGTGCAATGTGAAAGTTGTGGAAGTATATTTGACAACGATTTTAAGACCAGACATGAAACGGCTTGTCACAATGGAAAACGTATAAGAATTAAGGAACCAGGGGTTCCTAAGAATCCATTTGTAGATGCACTTAAAGCTTCTAATAAGAATTTATAAGTGGCTTCATCAAGTTTATTGGAAAATGTTTGTATATAAAGTCACAATTAAAATATAGTTATTTCTGAACTCATACTTTGAGCTTAGAAAAAAATTAGATTAAATATTATAAATTGTCATGTTGGTTATTAATAATATTTAATAAGTTTAATACAATAACTTCACACCCATAGTTATTAAAATCTAGGCTTAGTTCTAAAACTAGTCCCAGTTTTCCTCTGAATTTAAAATATCATTAAACATTTAAAAACCAAATATAGTCTATTTTGTAAAATAGCTAACTGATGAATAATTTTGTTAGGTTAATAATAAAATTTTAAATAAAAATATATAAAGATTAACACTTAATCTTTTCAAATATTTCAAATAGTTGAATAGAATAATATATTATTGAATAGGCTATGCCTATTTATATACCTCAACTATGGCAAACATTTTTTAAAATCATATTCCTATTTATCAGACTAAAATATATTAACACCAACTAATTTTAAGACTGAAGCATCTTCTTTGTTGGTCAATGATATTGATGAAAATATTATACATTATAGAAGTTATATGAAAAACTAGGTCATTAAAATATTCAATGAGTTAGACATTACCTAAAGCATACGAGAATTCAACACAAGAAAACGGAAAACAAATTTTTCTGCAAAATATATGTTTACGCTAAAAACACAGAAAGATATTTACACTGATCAGTACTATAACAACAAAACCTGGTCAGATAATTCACAGTAATGTTTAGGACTTATGGAAGAAAAATATCTTAGTGCTAAAATATACATTGTTATATTCAAAGGTCATCATTCTAAACGTATATATAAATATTTTTCAAAACTATAACTAGAACGAAAGAAAAATTCGATTTATTCTTAAAGACGGTGAAAAATCAGTTTATGTCTTGTCGGGGTCTCATCGCATTTCCAGTGTTCTCGCTGGATATTGATCGCGGCGCTTCTTCCTCATGTCCGACAGGTCGCACTATACGGGTGGCCGACGAGTGATGTGAACCGGTCTATCGGATGTACACGAAAATAATAGATTATCTTTTCAACTGTCACGTTGATTTTAACCGACGGAAGATTTTGCATATTGTTTCATTGATTTTAATTACTGTACTTATTATTGTAAATATTGTTTCTCTTTGAAATAAGCACAATCTGTGTTTACTATTTATTATTAGACCAAATTATCCTGATTTCATCAGCCTTAAGGAGTAATTGTGATTTGGAAATAAGAATGCTGAAATCTTAATAAAAACCATCCTTTGCTCTTGCTGAAGCGACTTTATTGTAGTATAATTATTAAAGCATATACTAATATAACTATAAGGACTAATTATCATATGTTAAAAAAGTACACGACACACATGTTCAGTTCTAATAGAAAAACCACAAAATTAAATCTTCACAGCTAGTCACTCCATATCAAACGTCCACCTATCTCTATGACAATCGGTTGTCATCAGGTGATTCCCCGCCCTTGACACCATGACAAGGCCACCGCCGACTATGTATAGTAATACTGATAATGCGCTCTATTTTGTAAGGTGTATTTTTGCGTAAACAAAAACATGTATATATTTATTTGTACTGTTACTCTTATTCTCATGCTGTGTTAAATTATATACAGAGTGTGTGGTGCTTTCCCGTATTATTGGATACGCAATTAACTACAAAGAATTCTTTAGTTGTAACAAATCATCTATTTTAAGTAAAATAATATGTAAAAACTAACACCATCAAATAATAAACAGATAATAGTAAAAGGTCGTAACACTTCTTGCACATATAGATGAATTAAATTTAATATAAAATGGCACAAAAACAGTCAATTCGAGTCATTTCTCCTTGACTTCATGATCTTTCAACAAGTGCAAGAAGTGGCTTGGCAAATATTATAATTACACAAAAATTCAAAGCATATTTAATTACAACCTTATTTTCCAACATCACTAAGGTAAACTTATATTTGACAGAAAATGTATAAGATTTTTTTTTTTTTTTTATTCAAATAACTTTATAAAATTTACATCTATACCAAATATATACACAACCGTAAATATGTATAAGATTTAAGGTTTAAGGTTAAGCATAATGAGTACATAAATTAAGTAGGTAACTAGAGAAATTAAGTGATAGAATAAAATATTGAGTAAATAAACAAAAAAATCTATAACGTTTATACAAAGTTAACCAGCCTAGTCCAACTTTTGAGTGGGTTACCTGAATAGTCAGTACAAATAAAAACTCTCTTGCGAAATTAGAGAACCCACTTGCGGTTCCTATACTACTCGTGGTATTTATTAACACGATAACAGTCATCATTTTTGCAAATTAATCAAATGCTTTTGTTCATATAATTTTTCATCCGATAAACCATTTTTCAGCTAATTCTTTTTTAAGTTAAGCTATTTTTGAGCTACTAATAATTTTCTATTTAGCAACAATAAAATTAAAATAAAGCTTTTTTCTTTTTTCAACATTTTGAAATAGTTATTATATATAAAATATAAAATATATAATATTATCTTTATTAAAGTTAAGTTAGCTCGATAAAAGTTTTAGGAGAAACACTATTACAAACAATTAATTATATTGATTAAATGCCTGTGGAGTAACTATAATGCGTGAAGATAAAAATTTTACATTAATATAATGGATTTTAATGATTACAGATCATAATAAAAAAAAAAATTTATCAAACAAAATAATCTTTTTATTGTTAATTATTTAAATTGATGAATTTAAAATGATTTATTGTCAAATAACTAATAAACTTTATATTGGTATCTAGTAAAATTTTCATTATACAATATAGCGTTCGTTGGAAGTAATAAATGCAGTAATGATACCAAAGTTCATATTTTTAAGTGCACTATGATCTTTTAAATATTTATATAATATTTTCATAATCTGCAAATTTAACTCAATCGGATTCTGAACTTCCAAATATTCTATACTGATACCTTTTTGTTTTGCAAACTCTTCAATTAATTTAAAGTTTGATGAATTTACTAGTTTAATTCCTAAACTATTGACTTTAATAGTTTTATGAAAATAATTTGAAATAATCTCAGTTTCTTTCTTTTTTACAAAATTTATTACTTCACTCACTGTTAACTTCGATTTTTGAAATTGTTTAATTTCTAAATATTTTTTTAACATTTCAAAAATAGATGTTAATTCATCTTCTTTTGTAAATTGAAAAAAATTTACAAAATCTTTTAACACATCAATTATTTCTTTAGAGTAATTAAATTTTTTTTCTCTTATTTTTGAAAAACTTTTGATATTGTTTAATGTGTTAGTTTCTTTGCTTTGATATATCAAGTGTTTTCGTGTCATTCTAACAATGATTAATTTTATAAAGTTCAAAAATAATTTTTGGTAAGCAATTAAGCAAGTGGAACCACTTACTAAAGAATCTAAAGTGCGACTCTTTTCATTTAACATAATTAATTCATCTGTTATATTTTTCCATTCAATTTCCACTATAAATTTTTTTGTTAAATCATTCATAAAATCTTTAGATTTAACAATATCGTATATGAACAATTGGTCAGTTGTAAAATATTCTAGATTTTCCGGTATAACTTCATTGTCTTTATGTTTTTTCATTAACTGTTCTATACTTGAAATATTGCTATTTATTCGTTTTTCCACATTAATAATACATATTTTATCATTATTCTTCAGTTTACATTCAGAAATCTCATGTTCTTCAAAATTAAAATTTTTTTTATCATAACCCCCACAATCAGAAGAGGTCAATGTTGTTTTTAAACGTTTAATAATTGCAGAATGTATAAATGCCACATTAGGTAAATTCTTACCAGTAGACGTTGTTCTTAAAAACATAATTTCGGAAGTTGGAGCTTCTAGTAATTTTTCCATATATATGTAGGTTATCCACAAAACATTAAGTTCTCTACTTCCTAAATTGTATGCCGTGGCTATCATATCTCGAATTATTGCTTTGTATTTCACAACTAACTCAAATTTTTTTTCAAATTCTTTATTCTCAGCCACAAATAAATTAAAAGTTAATAACATATGCAATAAAACTTCATTCATGTAAGCACATTGTAGAGTTTCTAAATACCATTTGATTGACACCCTTAATGTAGCATCTTGTTGTTTATTTAGTTCTTCAAATTTTTCCTCCATTTTGTAACTAGTCTGACACATATTTTCAATGTACTGAAGTCTTAGTACAGTATTTACTAAAGCATCGTGACTAATAGGAACATGATAGTTTACTCTATTGTTCCCAAAAGATTTTTTACTTAAACATATAATTATCAAAGAAATTAAAATTGAAAAAGAATTCATTATCGAAGAATCTATTAAAAATTATTAATAACAACAATTAAAATTAATAATTTTTATTAACTCAAATAATATAAGAAACTACTTACTTTTTACTACAAATTTTGTTTTTTAGTTAATGTTATCTTTCACAGTATTTATTTTATATGCTAGTGCTATGATTTTATAAAAGAGTAATTTTCATTTTAATTTAATGTACATTAAATAATGTAATAAACAATAAATTATGTTTCATTATAAAAATAAAATGTGGTTTTAATGACAGTAAAACATACATATTTCTCATTACTTTTTTTGATATATTAGTGCACTAATAAAAAAAGTTTACTAAATACAGGATGCTATAAAGATTCTTTTCAGTTTTAGATTTTTTTTTTTTTTTTTATAGTAATAGACCATATAGAATTTTTTACAGAAATATGTATATTTTTAATTTTTTGGTTCGATACGAAACTGAGAAGGCATTGGTATTACTATGATGTGTTTTTATGTTTGTGTCTGTTACAACTTTTTCTCAGCTCTCATCGAACCGATATCTTTCAACGATACGTCAAAAGATCACAAATCGTATCTAGTCGAAGACATTACCCTCAAAAATTGAAAAAATTTTCCTCGTTACCCGTAAATGAGGGAAACCTCCAAAAAAATTACAAATTTAAAAATCGCTAATTTTCGAAATTTTTTCAATGTTTTTCACTTAAAACTGTCATAATTTTTTAAATATGACCAAATCAACATAATTTTTTTTATAGATACATTAGGTATTTACCTATTATTTGCTATATTTTTGTGAACGTTTGACACTTCAGCTGCCCACAGGAAGGGTTTAAAAATAGCAGTTATTTTATAAAAAATTAACTTTTTCAACTTAACTTTTGAAAGTGTTCCGGAAAGTGTGACACTTTTATATATATCTTAAATTAAAGCTAATGTAATTAACTTTATTATGGAAAAAAAAATTTCTGAATTTCTGTCGGATATCATTATACTTGATCCAACTATGCTACTTTACCACTGTGCTCCTACCCTCCTGTGCTGGGTTTTTAATATCTATGTTTATAAAATTTCACTAAAATATTAAATACTTGTTAAATTATCGGCTCAACTAAAAAAAAATAATATTGAAAAAATTATACATTTTTTACTTTGGAAGCATATTTTTCACAGGAAAAATACCATCGGGACAAAGTTATAATATTATATTATATATTAAGAGCTTTATTTTGATATAGATTTTAATGTAAACCTACCGAATTATTTTTAAAGGTACACTTAAACAATTTTTTTACATTATTGGGTGGTCTTTTTAAACTTTCATTTATTTAGATTTTTCATTGTATTTTCTCGAAAATACTAACAAAAATTTTTTTGCCTCAAATATATTCTAACAAAATGTCATAATAGTTTTAAAATGGGATAAAAATTTTTAAATATATATTAACTAGAATAAAAATGACGTGAGTATTATAAAAAATATGAATATTTTATTATATGACCTCTTCTTCTTTTAATTCCTACCCGTTTTCGGGTGCTGGATACCTGATACCCAAAGTTCAACTGATATTACTAGGGAAGGGATAAGTGCAGTGGTTTCCCGTTTCCTTCTACACTTGGGACCTGATGATTTTGCCCATCGGTTAACTACAGCAGCAGGCGTGGCTGAACACTAGGGTTTTATCAACATCTATTGTGTTCACTGCACCTTACCACACCCTATTATATGACCAGTTTTAACAAATGTTAACACGGTAATATTTAATCAATTAAAATAAAATAATTAAACATTGAATTAATCAATCAAAAAATAAACATAAATAAATAACAAAACGTGATAAATACACAGAAAAAATTGCATAAGATAATAAATTATAATGTATACAATAATCTATTTACTAAATATAAAAAAAATATGATAAATGTTTGATGTTCAATTATTATTTATTACCTATTAAACACGAAAAAAATATTATTTTAAATGCGTGTTAGGATACTTAAGATATTATCAATATTATTATGTAAACTTTATTAATTTTATGTATTTCCTTTAAAACCTAAGTAACAAAAATTTTTTTTTGGTGAATTCGAAATTTATAAGTCTTTATTTAATTTATAACTACACCCAAAGAAAAACCTCAATCAAAATTGAAAGAGAAATTTTATCAAGGGTTTATAATAATGTTTTATTAATACGAACAAAATAACTATTCTTATAAATAATTATTGTTTAAGACAAGNAATAACTATTCTTATAAATAATTATTGTTCAAGACAAGAAAAAAAAATATCATATTGATAAATATATCATTGATTCAATAGTAATGATATATTTATCAAATTGAACAATGAATTTATTATATAGATCGAGGTTTTTCTCTGGGTGTAGTATAATGATTATTCCCCATAACGTGTTTGGCAAAGATGGAATTAGAATTGGCTTTTTTTAACTTGATTTCCGAATATGCTATTTAACCTAGTTCAAAAATATTAGAATCATATTTCCAATATGAAATTTATCACAACTACAGTTCAAGTTATAAATCCTACAATTGCTTAAAATATTACTATAGTTTGTAAATTGTTTTGATGTACTCACGGCTTTATTTGTACATATTATTGGGCAATCATAACACGAGTCAAATTAAACAGATTAGCTTTAAAAAATATAAACAATAAATTGTGTATTATAATGTTAAAAAACATATTTTACCAGCTTTTATGAAAAAAAATTGCTTTAGAATAATGAAAAACTTAGAATGGACAAAGTAATATTGTTATTGAAAATTTGTACCGTCATTTGTTCTTAACAATAAAATAAATTATATTTTTATATGTATTATATTATTAGTAATAAATAAGTATATTTTATTTTTCGATGACAATTTTGGGTGAACAATAAACATATATGTCGATTAGTAGAGTGTATATTGTATAGATAGATATGCCTATTGTATAGTTGAGTACTAATATTTTGTAGCACTAAAACTTTTTAATTGTTTTCGTCTTTTAAACAGTTTTTAAGTATAACTCTGGTTATTGCACAGTGCTCTACAATTGCAAATTTATGTTTGAAATTTGATATTATTTTTTATTTAATATTTTGTAAATTAGTTAAATCTTAATTGTAAATATAAAGTTATATATATGTTTACATAAAGCAACTTAAAAAATTAAAAGTTCTATCATATACAGTGTCTATGAAAAATAAACATCTTTTGAATTTGATGTCACAATGAGTAAAATTACATTTGAAAACAATTGATAAATTATTGAAAAAACATAATGGCATGTATGATGTCTTTACACAAATGTTTATTCATATTTATTTCTCTAAATTTCAAAACAATTTTATTACGTCAACGAATATATATAGAATATATATATGCAATAATATTATTTGTATAATCATCATTTATGTCAGAAACTTTAAATAATAGTTATATCACTTGTTAAAATTTTAGGTGGCCTACATAACATAGTTGTGAATATTTCAATTATAGCATCTATTAAACATTAAGAGTTACATGAAAATGATTTCTATCGAAATTATTTATTACGATATAATTACAAAATATATAATAAATGATTCTAACGAAATTTTAGACTTTTCTCATAATTTTATTGTTAATAGTAATTATATAAGTACCTGACCATTTATCAAACAAAACAAAATCAAGTTTTTAATATTTCTTAAAATTTTCTATTTAATGATATCAGTTTCAAACTACTAGTTAAACTAATAAAAAGGTTAAAAGTTCAACATTATTAAATTATAAATTTTCATACAAATAAATTTTAAAGAACCAAAAAAATAAGTTAAACATGATATTTTGAATAAAAATTTTGCACGGATTATTTTTTGCATTTTAAAAATTAATTTTTCAATGTAAATACTCATTTTTATAAATTAGTCATAACCTCAAAAAAATAGTCGATGCAAATTAATTTAATTGCAAACCAATTTAATTTTAAAATCAGCATAAAAACGTGATTAAGCAATGAATATCATTGTGGTGCAGTGGACACAATAGATGTTGATAAAACCCTAGTGTTCAGCAATTGACCACCGTATCAATTGTCATCCGTAAGAATTGTATGAAATGTCATTCATTGTCGTAAGTTAGTTAGTTTTTTTGTATTATGTGTTATATTTTCTGTAGCAAGCGCCTTCGCTTGGATGGTAAATTGTTCGGTTATTGTACACCGTTATTCTTATTATTTGTTTATTGTGCTCTTGTGCTCAAAGTTATCGTGTCCTTGCACGCCACCAGTAATTGGGCCCTGACCATCACTAACTAACTTCATTGCCGTAGTCGCTTTTCCGCCGTTTGTTTTCATCTGCCATTAGGTACCTGGATCTACATTCTGACTCGTGACACTCAGATGTTTGACACCATTACTCATCATTACCAGTCCACTCATCACTATCTAAAACTTTATCAATTCAGCTGAGTTTTTATATTATTTTTTAATGTTATTTATTATTAGCTTCGATGAGAAGCTGAGTAGGTTTTGGTTTTACTATGATGTGTTTTTTTGTGTTACCAGTTTTTCTCAGGTCTCACCGAACTGATTTCATTCAACAATACGTTAAAAGATCACAAATCGTATCTAGTCGAAGACATTACTCTCAAAAATTGAAAAAAATTTCCTCATTTTCCGTAAAATGAGGGAAATCTCTAAAAAAAATACAAATTTAAAAATCGCTAATTTTTGACATTTTTTCAATTTTTATTACTTAAAACTGCTATAACATAATCTAAAAATAACCAAAACAATATATATATTTTTTTATAGATACCTTAGGTATTTACCTATCATTTGATATATTTTTGTGAACATTTGACCCTTACCAGCTCACGGGGGGATTCAAAATGACAACTTTTTCAAGTTAACTTTTGAAAGTGTCCCAGAGAGTCTGACACTTATATATATATATATATATATCTTAAATTAAAGCTTATGTAATATACTTTATCATGGAAAAACAAATTTTGGACTTAATTTTGTCTTTGTGTTAAAAATAGTTACCGAATGCTATTTTTGTGTGAAAATTTTCGATTTTATATTTTATATTTTTAACATTATAATGCTATAACTTATTGAAAAGTGTGTGGATCAATACAATTTTCTTATGAGAAATAATACTTATATCCCTCTT